CATATTAATGCCACCTACATTGGTGTTTTAATATCAATGGTGCTAAATAACCTTACTCGTTTGTAATGGAAGTAGTGTTGAAAAGTGCGAATAAAGTTTCAAACCGGTTAAATGATTTAGATGATGGATTTATAAAAGATTGTATTACTTCGACAATTAGATTAACATTCTAAGATGAAAACTCAATTCCTTATCAATTGTATAAAAGATAAACCGTATACACAACATAGATCTTCAGTTACAACTAAAACAAAGGTAGTGGGATTTGCGATTTCTGGAAATATTCATGATTGGCTCTCAAGGCAGGAGTTGGGCCTTCGTGTAACATGTAGTTGTTCATCATTTAAGGAAGAGGTCAATGGGCTGTTGCCTAAGGGAGCCCAAATGATATGTTGCTTTGTTTGAATTGTTTGGAGAGTGTAAACAAAGTTCTAATACAATTAGATATGAGGTAGACAATATGGCTACTACCTTTTTAGGATGGAATAATGTTATTCGCTGTCGTTCATTGCGACAATCGTCCTACGTGGTATTCATGTGATAAGTAGTTATTTGATACATTAATGTGGTAATTTTTTTATTAACTTATATATCAAATAATTATCTGTCATGTGCATGCCAAGTAAGACGATTGACACAGTGAACGACTGCGAATAACATTATTCTTTAGGATGAAGCCTCAATTTTCACCATTAATAATTTCAATTTTAAAAATTTCATTGACTTTTTAAAGATAAGATATATGTCTTTCTCTAATTTATATTTTGATTTAGTACTTAGAAAACATGGTAGAGGTACTTTGAACCCTCCTCTTCTATACGGTTGAAATTACATCACATCGATTATGAATAGTTTTTAAATCATCCAAAACTAGTGCCGCAAAACTAATAAGAACTATTTTTCGATCTCTCGTAAATGGTGTCGTTAATAACGGTCAAAATTGGTTAAAAAAGAAAAAAAAAATCTCAAACATGTCTAAAGATAATGTGACGGAGACCAAATTTGATATAGAAAATCTTGTGATTAAGAATTTAAGATCTTTGTTATCCCACATCATTTTGACAGAAAATTTGATGCAACCCCCTACCCACCAACCCAAACCACATAGATGTCGCATCTCCAACCACTAATCCTCAAGTTAACTCAACCGCACGCACGCGGCATCTAGTACAAGGAGACATACATATAAATATTTAATTACCAAGTAAAAATACCTTCTGCAACTCCCAACAATATCCGAAATTCCAGCTAATTAGCATCAACAAATGATTAAATGGACATATATTTTGATTCCCTTTTGTGGAAGGTGGAGGCACAAATGTCTTAATTAATAATATTCACTTGGATTGTAGGACACAAATTAACGTTGTCCATGTCTTGTTTTTTCTTCATTGGTGAATGAATAAATACTATTTTAATTACTCGGTTTCTTTCGCATGTTCGCTTATCATTGTAAAAACACGAGTCATTTGAGGGGTAAACAACATTTATATATTTCTCTCCGTATTATTTAGATTGGATTAAAATGTGCTTGTCCAGTGTAAATGAGGGCAATGCCTCATGTGAAAAACTCGAGCACTCTACATTTTTCGGCTTTCTGCATTTTTCATACACTGCTCTTTAAAATTTTTAACCGAGAGGCTTGCTTAGGGCCCATTTGGCATGAGTTTTGCTTCTTGTAAAAGTACTTTTGGAGGAAGCTAACTTAATTTTTATTTAAAAATTAAATGTTAAAAGAACTTTATATTTCAAAAATATTTTGAGAGGAAGTTACATTAGATCTACTTTAACTAAAAACTTTTCTAACTAGAAGAAATGCTTTCATAACGGAACCAAAAATAGCTTTTAAATTTCAAAAACTCTTTTTGATTTTTCAAAAGCCATGTCAAACAGGCCCTAATACTATCATATTACGTGTTTTGAAAGTTTCCTCTTAATTTTTTTGAGTTCTGTTGTCTCCTTGTATGGGATGGAAGCAAAATATAAATTAAGCCCCCTATTTTATTTAGTTAAAAAAAGTTAATAAAAATTAAATTAAAGTAAAAAATAAGCATTAACTAAACATTTATTGGGATTCACATTAAAATGAAAACAAATAAAATTCTTGTAGTCCAACAGATGAAAATAAAATAAGTTTCACAAAATAAGTACTGAAGAATACTACAAAACTAGTACCTAAATTCCCCACAAAACATGTACATAAGTGAGAATGCTAAGAACCTTGAAGTCTTAGGATAAAAGATCATTGATTCTTGGCACGTACAACTGTACCGTGTATTAGGGGACTATATTTATTTGGCTAACACTGATTCGTCTTCGTCAATGTCTTTCATTTAAAGTGCAATTCTTTTTCATTAATGAACCATTATATGTACTACAGGGAACAAGTCCTTTACTCCTTACCAATAATAATTAACTTTTGGTTTCGATCACTTGAGGAGTCATTAACTTGAGGAGTCATTACAAAAAAAAAAAAAAAAAAAAAAAAAAAAAAAAAAAAGGTCACTTGGACATCAATGTTTGTACATCATGTTTAACATCATCTTTAGTGTCAAGATTTGATTAATGAAAAAACTATTAGTATAATTCTGCACGTACAGAATTATTGGAACAGAAGAAAAATAGGATATTCACAGGGGGTGGGGCCCATGTGAGTTTTATATTGGAAAAAAAACACCACCCACCTTGTGTATGTGTGTGTGTTTTGAATTTCTGTAGACATTCTGTTAAAATTACCCTGTACCCATAGCAACACTCAAACTATTATTATTGTTATTTTTTTTTTCAAATTGTCCAATTATGTATTGTGTGTCGTCACTTGGTAAAGTATAAAACTAGATGTACACTTAGCATCATTAAGAAAAAAAAAAATTAAGACCTTTAGTTACTTCTCTTAAAAATATCGAGTTTTAATATTGAACTTAAATTAATATCAATCTAAAAAGTGTGTGAAAAATAGATCCATCAAAACTCTAAAGCTCATCCCTTGATTGTTGGATTTCAAAATTAAAATTATCAAATGGGTTACCATCTTATATAACATCTTAAGGTTGAGTAAGGATTAACATATAAGGATTTTGACTACTAATCTTTAATAAAATTTATGTTTTAAGATGAACATTGAAGACTTAATCGAGCCTGCTTATTATAGTAACAATTATTGTAGCTTTACGAGATAATCAATATATCACACGACTAGTTACGCATGGTATTGTCGCCCAATATATTTGTGCCATTGGCATCACATTTTTTTTTAACAAGTATTAAGATATTGTACTAATGACATTAACGGTATATCTTGACAGTGTCTGTGTACAATTTTATTACCAAATGCACAATTTTTGATCTCTAGATTTTCTAGAGCTTGTTTGGTATGATTTTTTATTTTTGCTTTTACTTCTTATAGAAGAGATTTTAGAAGAAACTAACTTAAATTTAAATTAATTTTTTAAAAGGATATCCCATTCTACAATTTCTTTTAGAGAAAACTATATTGAGGGCTTGTTCGGTAGTAATTTTGAAAATCAAATTTTTGATCTTTAGAGAAAAATTGAATCTTATCTGTGAGTGAAAAAATAAAAAATGACGGTTGACTTAGAGAAGTGACAATTAAAAAATTGATTTTTTGAGGTGAAAAATCAAAACCAAACGAGGACTGAATTAGTTTCCTCCAAAAACTTTTCTAATTAAAAGTAACATTTTAATAAAAGCAATCAAAAGGTTTTAAAAAGTGCTTTTGAATCTCAAAAGTTACATTTGACTTTTCGAAAGCCATGCCAATAGGGTTTAAATTTTTACATAATATAATTTTGATTAAATTTTAGGGAGGGGTTAATATATAGGTGTAAATTAATTATTGTAATGGGACCGTTTCTGATGGCAACTTTTAATGCTAAAAAAATTATTTTTGAAAGTAAAACATTAATTTTAACCGTAAGTTCATATGATTTACAAGTACTGTCAAATTATTTATCGCTTATTTTTCAAAATTAAAATTATAAGAAAATAAAATAAAATCCAAGCAAAAACATAATAAATACTTTGAATAGCCACCAAACTTTTCATAAAATATAACAACATAGTTAACTAAAATCCACAGTTCTTTTTTCCGAGTAATGTTATGTAGCGTCGTTTAGGTTGCAACCTCAGTTTAGACGGCACTAATACGACTTTAAATGATTATAAGTCGAATTAAATGATAAGTTGAATTTCACCTTTTATCATTTAGAACCATTTAGATTGAGGTTGTAATATCAATAGGGTTAAATAACATTACTATTTTGTTTTTTGTTTTTTTTGTTTTGGTTAATAACGCTCTGGAAATGACATGTTTAGCGCCCATACGATAAGAATTAGAATTCAAAATTTTAACCGAGGAAACATAATAGAGTTTTTCCTTCAATGATATGCAGCCTTAAAACATTATTGCACTTGGAATAATTAGATTTTTAGTCAATTCTATGGTGCCCAAGCTAGCATTTCCTTGCAAAAAGGAAAATTAGAAATAAAAAGTTAAGTAAATTATTCAAAACAGATTAAACGCACGGAAAAACCTATCTGGCCAGAGTTAAATCCAAGCCAAACAACAAGGCGTCCATGTGCTATCCCCTATTGGAGGGACAACTATTGGCGCCACTAGGTGCCATTTTTTTTTTTTTGGCCGGAATTTGATCCTGGCCAAATAGCACGACTGTAAATGCTTTGCGGGGTATATTGAACTTTTATCAAACTTGCATCGAGGTCATTTAACTTTAATTCAAGTGCAAATATAATCAAAATAAATAATAATGACGCGTCACATTTTAAACCAAAACATTAAGGGGTTAAAATGTGTCAGGTATGAAACAAAAAGTTGCACAAATCATTTCCCTACACCACTATTCACCGATTAGTTGATTTATAATGATCGATTACCTTACCCTACTACACTAATCAGTGATTAGTTGATTTGATGCCACTATTTAGACATATTTGGTATATGTTTTATTATAAAAGAGTACATGGCGTGTTTCGGGGAAGACAAAAAAGTACATTGTGTGTTTATTCTTATTCTTTACCCCTTCAAATGTTTGTGGGGTCCGTCCAAGACTCCAACAGTACTTTTATAAATATTTTTACTTTTTTTGTAGAAGAGATTAATGAATTAGTTACTTTAAGCTAATTTTCCTAAAAATTCTTCTAATCACATGAAGTATTTTCAAAAAATTATTCAAACAAATGCTTCTATAAATATTTTTACTTTTCGTAGAAGAGTTTAATGAGTAAGTTACTTTAAGCTAATTTTTCCTAAAAGTTATTCTTCTCACAAGAAGCATTTTCAGAAAATTATTCAAACATATACTTCTATAAATATTTTTACTTTTCATAAAAGAGCTTCATGAGTAAGTTACTTTAAGCTAATTTTTCCTAAAAGTTCTTCTAACCACATAAAATATTTTCAAAAAACTATTCAAACAAATACTTCTATAAATATTTTTACTTTTCGTAGAAGGGCTTAATGAGTAAGTTACTTTAAACTAATTTTTCCTAAACGTTTTTCTAATCACATGAAGCATTTTCGAAAAATTATTCAAACAGATTTACAGACAATTTCCTAGTCTCAAAACTAATTTTTGACTGATCATAATCTAGAGCTTGTTTGGGAGGGATTTTTTACCCCCCAAAATTGATTTTTGATCGTTATTTCACTATTTTAGCCATAATTTTTGACTTCTTCTCTCATAAATTGACCCCACTTTTCTTCTAACGGTTAAAAAATCAATTCTCAAAATACCTCCCAAACGGGACCCTAATATAGAGTTGAAATCTCTTGTACCCCAAATAAATTAAATCCATGTTTGACGCCCATTTTGTTAAAAAATAGATTTTGTAATACTGATTTTCTTAGAGAATGTGTAATTAAAAATATGAAAATGTTTCGAGGTTATGTGTAAAATTATTTTATGAATAAGGCGTGATAAAATATAAATTTATATATATATATGTATATATATATATATATATATATATATATATATACATATATAGAAAAATTAGTCAGAGAACGTAAATCTGAACTCAGTCTTACACATGCTAAATTTGGATGATATATTTTCCCTTTCAGATACTGTATACAGAAGAAGCTGACACCTTTCCAACAAAGAGAATGGGGCGATTTTAAAAGAAGGAAAAGTGGGTTTTAATAACAATCTTTTTGGGCATCTTTTCTGTATTGGTTCTCTTGCTGTTGCCGTTCTGTGTTTCGCGTAAGAAGTCGAAAAGGGGTAGTGATAAACTTCCCATAAGCCAGATTCCAAATGTTTCTAGGGAAATCAAAGAGATAAGGGTCGATCAACATTCAGCCAACCACTGTGTTGGCAATGGCAGGGATTTCTTCACTGTCCAGGACAAGAATGAAGAAGATTCGGATAAGTTTTTGGCACATTTTAGCAATGAGAAGGCTAAGAATGGTGATAGTAGCAGTCAATCCAGTTCGTTTAATTACCTGGAAAAAAATGATGCTGCTCATGAATCTGAGGATAAGAACGGTTCTGTAGCAGTATACCAGCCTTCTTCAGATCCTATCACTGTCTCTTCCCCTCTAGCTGGTCTGTCCGAGCTCTCTCACCTTGGTTGGGGTCATTGGTTTACCCTAAGGGATCTAGAAATTGCAACGGGCAAGTTTTCGAGGGAAAATATTATTGGGGAGGGTGGATATGGAGTTGTCTATCGAGGCCAACTGGTCAATGGTACTTATGTGGCAGTGAAAAGGCTCTTAAATAACTTGTAAGTTTTACAACGGAATTGATCAAACTTCTGGGGAAAAAAATCTCGTTTCTACAAGTATGTATCATGACATTTGCAATATCCTTTTTTGTAGAGGACAAGCAGAGAAGGAATTCAGGGTGGAAGTTGAGGCTATTGGTCATGTCCGGCATAAAAACTTAGTTCGGCTTTTGGGTTATTGTATTGAAGGAACCCATAGGTATTATTCCTTTATATTACCTCTCTGTCTTTGTAATAGTGAAAAGTTATTTTAGCTACTATACATGGTTTCATTTACCTTATTTATGTATAATTGATAAAAAAAATTAGGGCATTGGTATATGAGTATGTCAATAATGGCAATCTAGAGCAGTGGCTCCATGGAGCAATGTCCCTGCACGGATACCTCACTTGGGAGGCTCGTATGAAGATTCTACTTGGAACGGCAAAGGCGTGAGTTCGCATTTCTCTGTATTGCTAAATTTAGATTACCAGCAGGCATTCGTTTCTTAATATAACTTTGATGTAACTCCTGCAGTCTTGCATATCTGCATGACTCGATTGAGCCCAAAGTGGTGCATCGAGACATTAAGTCGAGCAATATACTGATTGATGAGGACTTCAATGCTAAAATATCAGATTTTGGCCTTGCCAAGTTGCTGGGTGCTGGGAAGAGTCATATTACTACCAGAGTTATGGGAACCTTTGGGTTAGTATTTGATATAAGAGATACCTCCTACTCAATCTTGGACTAGTTTACTCTCGTTTTTGAAGAGCAGATGTTTAAAAACTTGAATCTAAATTTAGAAGTCTTGTCCTTTTCCTTTATTGCTGTTACCTCGCTTACACAGGTATGTAGCTCCGGAATATGCAAACAGTGGCCTCCTAAATGAGAAGAGTGATGTTTTTAGCTTTGGGGTTGTGCTTTTGGAAGCAATAACTGGCAGAGATCCCGTTGATTACAGCCGCCCTGCACCTGAGGTATGTATGTCAAAAGATCCATGTCTTGTGCTATTGCAGAGGCATTAAATGTAATAATTTTCTTTGTAAATATCGACTGATATTTATTATCGAGTAATGGCAAAAAAAATGATAATTCATCTAGCCTTATTTTGAAAAGTTCATGTGCTGTTGCCGTTTGCCATTTGCCATTTGCTGCATTATTGTCTAAATTCCATTATTTTCATTTTGCGTTTAAAAGAATTTGTGAATTCAGTTTGAGTACTGCCTAGCTTACATCTAGGTTGGAACTAAAGGATAAATAAATTGAAATGCCATTTTTAGTTTTTGGAAGCTTCATTTTCCTTAGTAGCTGAAATCTCATATTCCATGAAGTTTGCATGTTTAACGATGCCATCTGGCTTTTCTTGCAGGTGAATTTGGTCGACTGGCTTAAGATGATGGTTGGAGCCAGACGTTCAGAAGAAGTGGTTGATCCCAAGATTGAGACTAGGCCATCAACGTCTTCCCTGAAACGAGCTCTTTTGACTGCCTTAAGGTGTGTTGATCCAGACTCAGACAAAAGGCCATCAATGAGTCAAGTTGTGCGGATGCTCGAGTCTGAAGAATATCCAGTGCCACGAGAGGTTGATTTTTCACTTGATCAAAATTCATAGCAAGTTATCAAATGTTTATGAATGTTAGCTTACTGAATAATGCTTGCTTGGTTGAAGGTAGTTATCTAACATCATGTCTTCAACCTACAGGGTCGTGGAAGGAGGAAGAATCAATCAGTCAACAATCAGAAAGGAAATTCTGATACAGATAGGAATGACAATTAAAATTTGAGGTCGGAAAGCAAAAGTAAGAGTCGAGCATAGCCGAGTGGGCAAACGTGCAAAAGTGATTTATAGGTTTAGGGATTAGGGAAATGGTAAATGCTTACAGGATACAGCATCATGAGATACAGTTTGTGCAGTTTCTTTTTATTTTTAACTTTTCACCTTAGTATGTGCATCTGAACAGAGGGGATATGAATATATTCACTTTGATTGAACAAGGATGTGAAGAATTGGTTTTTGAGATTGGATTTTTGTCCAGCTTTTCACTTTGGTGTGATGAGTTTATTTTCTGCTATAACATGGTGCTGTCATATGGCGTATTATGCCTCGAACCCCAGTCGATATGAGGCACTGGGGACGACGACGAGAGTATGATGCTATAGAAATGTTGCAAAAATGTGTTTTTTATTTTGTATATCCTTCGACTGAATCCATTACCAATGCGTATCAGTTTCGCTCCTCACCTACTGTTAATGATATTACAAGAGAATTTTATTAATATAACAAACGGTTGAATTTAAGAAGGGTCGAAGTACAAATTTATGAAATCTGATCCATTGTCTGGCAACATGTCCATTTCGACACCAGCAATTTGCTGAAGAAGTTGAAATATGGTCAAGATGGTCAAGACCCTTAGCACAAGTTGTTCGCTAATGTGAGAAATAGGATTAGAGTATCTTCAATAGACTATTTATTAACCTCATTTTCTCATTTCATCTATTTTAGAGAGTCGAATCTCTTTTTGAGGTTTTCAACATATCCATTATATTAGTGAATTTGACTCTTCAACCGTGGAGAGCAAATTCACCCTCTATACAATGCTTCATTTACTATTGTTCAATTTTCTATTCATTTCTTTGATTTCCACAAAAGTAGAAAAAAGGAAGTGATAACTTAAAAAAGAGGGAAAATGATTAACAGTAGTAGCTTACGAAAAAGCCAAAATACTGAATGAATATTTGGAATTTCCTTAAGAGGTGTTAAGAGTGAAGTATGAAAATAATGACCAACATACAAATATTTTCCTTTTAAATTGGAATGCCAAGTTTTACTAAAGCTAGTTGTAGAATTTCAAGATCGGTATCGACCTCCAAATCTGAATTACCTTGCTATCAACAGATTTCTTGCGACATCTTCGTCCACCTAATTGTTACCTACACACTTGTATACTAGTGTTTTGCGCGGGTTTAATCGCTAACAATTAAAAAGAGATCAAACAATTGTGTAAGGGACAAACCTCTTGAAACAAAGTTCCAAAAAGGGGTGTTCTTTATTGGCGGTGACTTTACAATCAGAAATTAAAAACAGAATGCCTCCAAGGAGCGCAAGCACACGAATTACTGACAGAAGTGTTTAAATCTAAGCTAATAAATTTAAAATTACATGTTCTCTATTCGAGAGTTTTTGATTCGATCTCTCTTGCTCTATGTCTTTTCTTCCTTTGATACTCCCCGGATGATCCCTTTGTGATCAACCGCCTAAAAACTGTTTGATCGTTCTACAACTGCCCACTTTCCTCGTAATGGCCAACTTGTCATGGAACTGCCTTTTTTAACAGCTGCCATTACTCTTCTTCGTTCAACCGTTTTCGATTGAATTTCTTGAATCGTGGAACGTGATAGAGCTGCTTAATAACTGCGCTTCTTGATAACCACAACACTTCATGTTTGCTAAGACCTTGGGCGACTCGAAGGTTTGGGCGAGAATAGAGTAGTAGTTCTAGGCGACTGCATGGCACTCCATTCGCTCAGATCCTGGGCGAATTGCAAGTTTGGACGATAGTGTTACCGCATCCCTGGGCTTCCCTATTTGGGCTTTCATCCTGAATTGTCTGATTGAGTTTCATTCTTTGGGCTCTCTGATTTGGGGATCCTCCCATTGGGCTTCATTCTTTGGGCCGTTCGCTTTGGGCCAAATTTTTATGTGTCAACAATTACCCCCCAATATGGCAGAATTAATACCAATTATTAAATTTTGCCATATTCACTTTTGTGTTTCCAGCAACATTCGAAATTCCCAAGAATTTCAACCATTGTTTTCTTCCATAGCTTTGAAAAGTGCGACGTTTTGCAAACCCTTATAACCCCCCAAACACGTCATTTCACTGCACCATTAAATCACGCCTCACTTTTTTGCGTTTCTCTCCCACGATTTACTGTTCATCTTTTTGCTTCCCTGCTACGTAACACTGAAAAAACTCCGTTTCATCCCTAATGGCTACTTCACAATCTCAATCTAGCGACTCCTTTAGTTTTGATGACTTTCAGAAACTTCTGAGTCGTCCATACATAACTCCGAACTTTCTCGCGCCTGCCAATGTCGAACTCAATGAGTTCTACCTATGTCCTTTCTTCAACAATGCAGAGGCAGTCGAACAGGCGGCGGTGGGCTAACTGTTTCCTTGTACTCAAGGCCCTCCATTTCTAAACTCTCTGCCGTTGGGGCCACTTCGCGAAAGAGGTATTCGCACTTGGCCTAAATCTGATGTAGTTTTTCGTAGGTAGCATGCTCGCCTTGTGGACCATGGTCCTATTAAGGCACTTTTTGATAATGCTAGGATTTCTGATTTGTTAGAAATCTCTATTCAACCCCCTACTTTTAATTCAACACTTTTTTCAATCGCTCTGAGTTTTTGGTCTTTTGAGTATAATACCTTTATTTTCCTTCTTGGCCCCATGTCTATTACTTTAAGGGATGTTAGGGCCCTAGTGAATCTGCCACCTTTGGGCGATACCATCTTTCCTGGTATCTTGGTTTTTGGTGGCGCCCCAAAGTTTGGTAGAAACTACACCGAGTCTTATTCAAGCCTGCAAACCCTTCATAACCATTCGAGCGCTGAGCCTTCCCATACTGAGCGAGCGGCCTTTCTTCTGGTTTGTCTTTATAAATATGTTTTGTGTATGCCAAGCATAAAGCCCTCCCTGAGCTATTTACCCATAGCGCACGAATTAGCGCGTGGCAGGCCTCTGAATTTATGTTCTTTCTTTTTGGCTGCCCTCTGTAGAGGCATGGCTTCTCTTCAAACTCAATTGAAGAATGGTGCATCTCCCACTGGCAGTGGACCTCTTTGGTTTACTCAAATGTGGTTGAGATCCTATTTTTCATTGCTTGGTACTCCATCAATTTCTCGTCCTTCTGCTAGCTGTTATGGGCTAGCCATTGAGCTCCTGGCTCCTGTAAATATGTCTAGAAGGGACATTTTTTCATTCTTTTATTCTTTGGATTCAATCCCTTCATTCTTTCATTTTCCTCCCTTTTTGACTCCAGACTATGTGCATTCTCCCTCTACTATAGATAGCGCGAGCACCTCTCTGCTCATTTGGATCCAATTTTTGACCGGGAGGGAGTTAATTCATGATATTTTGACTGGGACCAATGCCAAGGCAGGGGTAGAAATATATACTCCCCAATTTTTTGCGCGCCAACTTGGTTTCGGCCAAACCTGGCCTGTTCCTCCTTGCTATTCAAGGAACTTGATTGACCGCTTCCATATTATCAATAAGGCGGAGGCAGAGGTTATAAATGCTCGCAATCTTCTTTTGATGAGCCATTTTTCATTAGCCCCTTTCAATTCTAGCCATGCCATCCATCCCCTTTTTGAACAGCTCTGGCCGTCAGTGAAGAGCAGATTGTTTCACGACTGATGCCAATCGTGCCTTTCATTCACTGGACCAGCCGAGCATTTCTTCCTCTCCTCCTATTTTAGTCACTCCTTTGTCCATCCGGAATCCTTCTCCTTCTCCATCTTCTTCTCTCCCTGCCAAGCCTACTGCAGCCAAAAGTGCCCCAAGTCGCAAATGGCCAGTCTCAGCATCTCCCATTCTGGAGGATGATGTTGATGATGATGATGATGATACCCCTCTTATCATCAGGAGGAAAGTAATTAAATTGGTTTACTCACAAGCATACTTTTCCATACTTAAAACTTTTCTGTGTGCTGATGATTTATTTGGATTTCTCAGAAAAATTCAGCCTCTCCTTTAAAGGCTTTGGTATCGGCAGCTCCTGCTCCATCATCTTCCGCTAAGGCTGCTTCATCCAAACCAACTGATGAAGGGACTACGCTTAAAGAGACATCTTCAGTCCCAGAATTCTCATCACAACCAATGGATGAGCCACCTTCTTCCCAGGGCGTCAACCCCCCAAACATCGAAGCAGAAGGTAATTTAGTTTTTTGATGCTTTACCTTTGCTTATGCTATTAGTTTCTGATTTATTATTTTTGAGTTTTGCAGATGCTCCTATGAGTCTACACGTTGTGGCAACATCTTCTCGCTCAGACAAGGGGAAGTCGTCACGAATGGTGGAGTCACAGGTGGCAGACTTGGCCGAGGATATGCCATCTTCCACGATTATTGATGAGGTAATCTTTGCTTCACTTCTATTTCCATCTTGTTTCTTGTAGTGAGAATCTTAAATATTGGCAATTTTCTTTGCAGGTTGCTGACAAGATTGTGCGTTCCATCCAAGACTTGTTCGCTTCCTGGGGGCAAGTCAAGACATCTCACCCTGCTCCATCTGGTCGTCCTGCTACTTCTTCAGAGGAAGATTTGAAGTTCTTCAAGCAGTCGATATTTGAGTACGTGTCCTTCATGAATATGGACATTGGTAAGGCTAGTGCTGCCAGACACAAGGATAAGCTTGAGCATTTGAATGTGAAGTTGGAGCAAGCACTGACACTTCCGTCGCTCAATCTTTCTGCCAATTTTAAAGCGACGTTGAAAGTTATCCATTCCGAGGTCCTCTCCTTGCTGGCCAAGAATGCTGAACTGAAGGCCAAAAGTACTCAATATCTTCGTGCCGTATCTGAAAAAGAGTCTTTGCGTCTGGAGATCAACAAGGCTGAGGACGAGTTGAAAGAAATCTCTTCCGAAGTCATGATTGAAGACTCTTTGATGGTTAGTTTGGCTGCTCAGATGAAGGAACTTCATGCCAAAATGGACGACTGCAAGGCGAGAATGGCTGCTAAAAAGCGCAATGCCTCCCAGGAAATTGAGCGAACTAAGTCTTTGGTCGAGCAGTACAAGAAGTTGGAAGTTGATGATGATGTCATGACCGAATTGAACATCACTTCCTCTCGGTAGAACAAGGATTGGGAAAAACTTAGGGAACGAATTCGTTCAGTATGGGGTGGATTGTAATTAAGACATATGACGCCTTAACTTTTCTTTTTGTAATTTTGCATTTGACTTTCCCTTTGTAACCTTGTTCATCGTTAATGAACATATATGTTAACTTCTTGTGTATTTATTTGACGTTTGTCTTTT